CTCCCCAATAAGATAGTTTAGGGAAATTACACACATTGTGACATTTTCTTTTCCTCGTGTATTCTGAAGTTGGGTTGTTATGGAGGAGAATAACTAGCATATCTATGCTTCTCTGTGGTGTCAAAATAGCCCATTGAGGTCAGTGGAGAATCTGAAGCCAATGTACACGTTAGGAAGTTGAGACTAAGAAGTTGTAAATGTAATGACAGTAAAGGACTTGGTGGTGAGTAGCTATGCTGGATATCAAATTCAAGACTTTTAGTTCCTTGTCAACAACTGTTTATTGCATTGTGGTAAATAAAGTAGCAGTTAAAATAATTGTTGGAGGAATGCCTTCAGAATAGGATTGCAGGTTTTCCTGTCACATTACAGATCTGGGCAAAAATGAGGGATGAAGAGCTCTTTATTTACCATGCTGTCAATCTGAGTGAGCCCTCTCTACCCTGCCCAGGAAGTCTTCCTAGTGTAGGATATTATCAACAGCATTTTGATTAATAATGAATAATAGGTATATTTCACTGAGGTCTGTTGTCTTTTAAGTGAGTCTTATTTTTTCAACATTTCCTTTAAGTATCAAAATATATTTTTACTTCTGTTTTATATCATGTTTTTTAGATACACCAAGGCAGAGTATAATTGAAAAGTGATGACCAGTTACAGATTGAGTTGCTAAAGAAGCCTGAATTTTAATTTCATTTTATAATCTCTCCTACTGGGGTCTTACCTTTCCATCTTGACTTTTGCATGATGCTAGAATTTTTTTTTTTTTATTGTTCAGTGCTCTCCAATCTCAGCCATAGGCCCTGCTCCCTGATAAACATGTGAGTGAATGAGTAAGTGAGTTTCACACCAAGAACTGTTACTTTCTATTAAAAGTCATATTATAGAAGACTATTAGTGAAGATTTTCCTTTGAATAGACTTGGACATGGAAATATCTTTCTTATTATTTTAACTGCACATATTTATAGGGTATGGTGTGATAATTTGATACAATGTGTATGGTGATCACAGTGTGTGATGATCAAATCAGGAGAGTTAGCATTTTCATCTCCTTAAACATCTCAAAAATTTTTTGATTAACATGATAATCATACATATTTATGAGATACAGTGGGATATTTTAATACATCTATGCAGTGTGTGCTGATCAAATCAGGATGTTTGCAACTCCTTGTTATTGCTTTGTGTTTGAAGCCTTCAAGCTTTTCTTTTCTAGTTATTTCTAAAGTATGTAATAGGTTATTGTGAACTCTAGTCACCCACTGAGCCATTGAAATCAAACTAGAACACTGGAACTTATTACTCCTGTCTAACCTTGTCTTGGTACCCTTTATCTAGCCTCTCTCCTCCCTCCCTTCCCTCCCCTTTTCACCCTCTAATAATAACTATTTTTATATTCAGATAAACTTTTTTTTTAGTATTCACATATGAGAGAGAACATGCAGTATTTGTCTTTCTGTGTATGATTTATTTTTTTAGCATAAAAGTCCTCTAGTTCCACTCATTTTGTTACAAATAATAGGATATTATTTTTATGGCTGAGTAATGTTCCATTTTGTATATATACCATATTTTCTTTAGCCATTCATCTGTTGACGGGTGTCTAGGTTGAGTATATATCTTAGCTCTTGTGAATGATACAGCAGTAAACGTGGATGTGCAAATGTCCCTTTAATATGCCAGTGACTTTGGAAGTATTGTTGAAAGGGAGAAGAATCATAAGTAAATTTATAAAGTAAGCACTGTTTTTAACAGGAGGGCTGGCATTATAATAAAATTGTAAGTTAAGCATGTTGGCTATTCCTCAGTCTGAATACAAGTGATTTAAATTTCTGAAGACTCACTTGAAAAAGATATCAATTCTTATTGTAAATTGCTGATTATATTTCCTGAAGATTTTATACAGCTTTTTTTTCATATAGCAGAATATTCTGCCTGGCTTCAGAAAAACCATAGTTAACAGTCATATCATTTAAAGATGAACAATGTAATTGAGTATAATTCTCATTGAAGATGAAATGTTTTGTAGAGTTCCTCTATGTTTTCTTGATGGGATATGCTCTTCTAGTAAAATATATAATTCCCACCCTCTATCCAAATGGAATTATGTTTTTCCCAAGGGATAACTTTTTATTTTTTTTTTGTACCAGGGATTGAATTCAGGGGCACTCCACTACTGAGCCATATCAAAGCACTATTTTCTATTTTATTTAGAGACAAGTATGGGATCATATACCTGTCTTGTGTATTACCCCAAGACCCTGGTATCACTAGCTTTCCATTCTTCTTTTTGTTTTGTGTGTGTGTGTGTTTGTTTGTTTGTTTGTTTGTACCAGGGAGCTCTGGGGCATTCAACCACTGAGCCACATCCCCATCCCTGTTTTGTATTTTATTTAGAGACAGTGTCTCACTGAGTTGCTTAACGCCTCACCCGTTGCTGAGGCTGAATTTGAACTCACGATCCTCCTGTTTCAGCCTCCTGAACCTCTGGGACTATAGGCGTGCGCCACCATGCCCAGCCCCAAGGGATAATTTTTTATCTTGCTTTTTGAATGAACTTAATTTCAGTTTTCAAATAAACTGTTTTAGAGTTTTGGACATTGTGGTTAGCCATCAGTACACAGTGCAATCACCTTTAAAACTGAGTTTAATAGGACAAAGTGTGAGAAGCATCTAGTAGGTATTTGACTCTGATTAGATTTTAAGTGTTTCCTTACTAACAATACTGAAATATTGATTCCTTTAGAATTAATATTCCTCATTCTGCAGTTTGTTGAGAGCTTTTTGAATGCTGACTGTGTTCTGGGTACTATGGTAGATACTATAGTAGATGGAAATCACACCACTCCCCTGCTGCCAAGCACTGCATTTGACCTATTGGTCCCTTCTGAGAAGCAGTAGCAGAGGGCAAAGTGGTGAAGTGACGGCCCTGGGTGGATTGGAGTGCAGTCAGCACTGGCCTGATGGAGTGGCCAACAGTGCAGTGAGCCAAGGCACACTGACCTGTCATCCTGCCACAGCAGGACCAGACCCAATGCAAACACCTGGTCCATGCAGAGCTGCACTTCCAGATCCCCCATCGAATATGTGTGACTCATTGACATCAGCCTCTGGTTTCCCGAGAAGTGGGGAGAAAATGTAAGTAAAGCAAACTTGAATGTGGTTCAGAACTAACCAATAGTGTTATTACTTTTCCAAACTCTAATTAGCATAAGTTTGGATTAATAGCTTGACTCGAGCTATGTAAACCCCTAGACTAGCACACTTAGACTGGCAACTCCTATTGAGTCCCCTCTTGCCCTGTGGGAGTTCTGTTTCTACGCACCTTGCATAAACCGTATTCTTACACTCATTCTTCCTGGTCAAGAACACAGAAGAAATTGATGGTGAGCTGGTTGTGGGGGGGGGGTTCTGCTGTAACATAGGAGGGCATAGCCCACCATTAAGAGCTACAACACTTATGCAGACCCCTCTTGCCAGCAGAAGCAGTGAGTCAAGTTTCTAAAACTCCAGTTTCAGAAAGAGGAATAAAACCCATCAAAGAACTCACTGTTTAGTGGTATAGTTGAAATACATACACAATTATTATGATTCTATCTTTGCTTTTAGAGGTAAAGACACTTTGGAGGAGTCAAAGGATTGATATATTCTGGTTTGTAGAATTAGTGGAGGTTCCATAGATCAAATATGGCTCCATTTCAGATAGAAAACTGTTTGAATACAGGAAGGAAAATGGAAAAGTTTACTGTCTACTTAGGAACAGTTCAGAGTCACTCATTTTAAAAACGTTTATTACAGTCATAATAGAATATTAACATTGGAAGGTTCTGTAAGAGTTATATGAGAAAAAATACTGAATTCTAGACATAGGGGTTTAAATTTAAAGTAGCAGACAGTATGTGCATTGATGGTTCTGAATGACATGATCATTCATGTGATATGATTATAACTTTCATTTCTTTCTTTCTTTCACAGCATTCTTCAACAACTGATGTTAAAGATAGCATTTGCCCAAAGGTGACTAGAATTTTGTGTGATCCTTAACATCTTCTTTCCTTTCTTCCACTCAAGAAAGTTATGGAAATATAAGTAAAGGAGAGTAATATTTTAGAAATTATTTAATCAACTTTTTTTTTTTTTTTTGTATCAGGGATCGAACCCAGTGGTTTATTTGAGACAGGGTGTCACTAAATTACTGAGACTGGCTTTGAATTTGTGATCCTCCTGCCTCAGACTCCTGAGCTGTTGGGATTACAGATGATCCAGCCAACTTTCCCTACTTTTTAAAAACGCACTTAAAATGTATAAATATGGGGGGCTGGGGTTGGCTTAGTGGAAGAGAGCTCATCTAGCATGCATGGGGCATTGGGTTTGATCCTCAGCACCACATAAAAGTAAAATAAAGATGTTGTGTCTACCACCTACAACCTAAAAATAAATATTAAAAAAATCAATAAATTTACTTCGTACTATTTATAATTACATTGTGGCATATTTTGTAATTAATCATGACACAGAATTATGTGTTGTTGACTGAAGATAAGAGCCAAGGCTAAAGCAGATTTGGCAACACTGTAGAATGGGGAGATATTGGGTGGTGTGAGAAAGAACAATTAATAAGCTGTTTCATTATCCTTAGAAAACTTCACGTCTGAACTAGGGTTCATAACGGAAGGGACAGAAGAAATGATGTCCTGAGAATTTAGCAATTAATAAGATACTGTCATTGATAAAGTAAAGAGAACCCACGATAAATCTGAGATTTTAAACTGGAGTGTCTCACACAGAGGAATAGGAGTGGCTATGAATGGGGATGGAAAAATATTAAATTTAGCTTAGCCTCTTAAATTGAGGTCCCAAAGGACATCTTATAAGTTGCTTCCATAAAGTTGGAATATGGGGGTTCTGAGAAAGATTTAGATTTGTGGATCACCTACAAATGGAATTCTCTTTCCTAAACACTTCAGATAGAAGGAGGCACTTTCCATTGTACATGTGAGCCTTCAATTGATTCTTAATTATTCAAGTGATTAATCATAAGATTATTAATGATTGAATTTCCATTTGTGTGATACCTTAAATTCTTGAGCCTCCTAAATGGTAGGAAAGTGACTGTAAGGAATTAATACCTGGTCCAGGAGTAAATCCATCATTGACAGAAAGTGAATGCATGGAACTTATCTAGAGTCCCTCATTTTAGAGGGGAATGCTTCAACACTTAGCAGATCTTTCTCTCTCTCTCTCTCTCTCTCTCTCTCTCTCTTTTATTATATGCTTATTAAATTAGGAATATTGTTTCTTGTACATGCTATGTGAATGCTTTTTGAACACTTATGTAATTTAAAACATTAAGAAACATTTTAATTACAAGATATTTAAATATTCTCTATGATGTTATATTTTCCATTTCTTGAAAGATCTATTGTGTCCTACTCTATCCTTTGAATCTTACCAGACATTTCAGGTGAAAACCCAGGAGTAGGAATTTGAACTTATTTTGAATTGTCAGCTTTTGTTGGTAAAAATTATATCTGTGGTAAGGCATTTCCTTGTATCTATTTATAGTCTTGATTTTTACAGCTGACGCAAAGAAAATGATTTATTTTCACTAGTTTGAAAGGAAGTATAGAAGCACATTCATTGTATGATAAATATTAATGATACAGATTTTGTCATTCAAGAAACTCAGAATTGGAAATTAGATTTCAACTTTTGTCTTATATAGTTTAGTTGGTAGCGTTTAGTGAACTCTTTATTATCTATCATCATAGGTACAAAAAGAGGATGTTTACTAGAAATTCAAAAATATTCTACCTTGACTATTAATGTACTGAACTACTTATATACCATGCTAATTATATAAAACTTTAACTGATTCATATTTCTTTTTTCTTATATTTTTCTTAACAGCTGTGAGGAAATTTTTAATACATAAAAAGCAAACTGATCAGAGAATAGGTTTTTAAATGGTTAGAAGATGAGGTAAAAGGATAGATAGTTGGGGAAGGACCAAGGAGACTATAGGTTTGATCCACAACCTCAAGAGACTTGAAGAATCAAGATTGAATTTATGTTGCTCAATCTGGACAGAAATGTTCACCTAATTCTATTAGAGCTTTTGTCCCAAGAATGACATACAAGTAAAAAATAGTTTATATGTGTATGGTGCTTATGTATGCTAAATTTCAGGTATAGTCCTGATTTCCTGTAATTTTTTTTTCTGTTGGGAAAGTGATTTGAAAATTTTACAATAAATTCAGGTGCAGTGGCACAGGCCTAACATCCCAGCAAATCAGTCTGTGGCACAAGGATCACAAGTTTGAAGCCAGTCTCAGCAACTTAGTAGGTCAACCACAAACAACTTAACAAAATTCTGTCTCACAAAAAGATCAAAAAAGGAACTGAGATTGTAGTTTATTGTAGAGTGCCCCTGACTTCTATCCCCAGTATCAAAAACAAAATAAATTTAGAATAAAGTGAAATTTTCTTAAACCTTTTAAAATATTTTTACTTATAAATAGATTGATAAAATAAGACAAACCCTTTAGTAGTTAATTTTTTAAACTTTTTGGTTCTGTATGGGATATTGATTATCTACATGTTTTATCATTTCAGAACATTTATTATAGCAATGTTTTTGTTTTTTTCCTCTAGAAACTAATTCACCTAATAGAGGTACTTTATGTTTATCTTAAGAGAAACAGTTACTTTGGATGCCAGAATAAGTAGTATCTTTCCTCCTTTTAATTAAAGATCTGGTCTTATTTTATCTTTTTTTTTCCCCCTAAATCAGGTGAAATGATTAGGGGACAGAAATTGTGCCTGAGCCTATCAAAGCCCTAAGTCTTTTTTCCTATTTTGTAATTGTGAAGTAGAATATGGAAATTATGGAATGGAAAATCAAGTGACCACATCCTGTTGACAGGCTCTCTGTGGTTGTTACCATCTGTAGTCTGTTTGTCTTTTTCTGCATCTCATCCCTGCTAACATTTGCCCATCCACCCAATAGAGACTGCAAAGTTATAAGGACAGTTTCCTTATTATTTTGAGCCTCTTGTGTTGATCTGTGTTGAATACTGTGCTGTTTGTTACCTACCACCACCACCACCACCAATTTGGTGTTAAACTTTAGACCCCAGTTTTGACTTCTGTATTTAGATTTTTCAGCCTAATCCATTTTCTCTATAAAGTACTTCTGAAGTTCAGATTCTTCTTCTGTGATGAGGTTGCTCCATACTCCCCTATTCATGAGCATCTCATCTTGGCTCTTATTGTGTTTCTTCTACTTCATCCCCTGGCTTTGATTGCCTTTCAGGTTTTTTTAAATTGATTTTAAAAAATGACAGCAAAATGCATTATAATTTTAATTATACATATATACCACAATTTTTCATATCTCTGTATATAAAGTATGTTGACACCTAATTCGTGTCTTTGTACATGTACTTTGGATAATGATGTCTATCACATTCCACCATCTTTGCTAACCCTCTGCCCCCTTCCTTTCCCTCCCACCCATCTTCCCTACCTAGAGTTTATCTATTCCTCCCATGCTTCCCATCTCTACCCCACTATGAGTCAGCCTCTTTATATCAGAGAAAATATTTGGCATTTGTTTTTCGGGGATTGGCTAACTTTACTTAGCATTATCTTCTCCAACACCATCCATTTACCTGCCAATGCCATGATTTTATTCTCTTTTATTGCTGAGTAAAATTCCATTGTGTATATATGCCACATTTTTAATCCATGTATCCACTGAAGGGCATCTAGGTTGGTTGCACAGTTTAGCTATTATGAATTGTGCTGCTGTAAACATTGATGTGGCTGTGTCCCTGTAGTATGCCAATTTTAAGTCCTTTGGGTATAGTCCAAGGAGGCAGATAGCTGGGTCAAATGGTGGTTCCATTCCCCATATTTCCAAGGAATCTCCATATTTCTTTCCGTATTGGCTGTACCAATCTGCAGTCCCACCAGCAATGTATAGGTGTAGCTTTTTCCCCAAATCCTTGCCAACACTTATTGTTGTTTGTCTTCATAATAGCTGCCATTCTTACTGAAGTGAATGATATCTTAGAGTAGTTTTGATTTGCATTTTTCTCTGATTGCTAGAGATGATGAGCATTCATACAGATTTAATGTAATTCTGATCAAAATCCCAATGGCATTCCTCATAGAAATAGAAAAAACAATTATGAAATTCATCTGGAAAAATAAGAGACCCAGAATAGCTAAAGCAATCCTTAGCAGGAAGAGTGAAGCAGGTGGCATCACTATACCAGACCTTAAACTATACTACAGAGCAGTAATAACAAAAACAGCATGGCATTGGCACCAAAACCGACCGATAGACTAATGGAACAGAATAGAGGACACAGAGACTAACCCACACAATTACAATTATATTAGACAAAGGTGCCAAAAACATGCACTGGAGAAAAGATAACATCTTTAACAAATGGTGTGGGAAAACTGGAAATCCATATGCAACAAAATGAAATTAAACCCCTATCTCTCACCACACACAAAACTTAACTCAAAATGGATCAAGGACCTAGGAATTAAACCAGAGATTCTGCATCTAATAGAAGAAAAAGTAGGCCCTAATCTTCATCATGTGGGATTAGGCCCCAACTTCCTTAATAAATTAGACTCCTGTGGTGCAAGAATTAAAACCAAGAATCAATAAATGGGATGGACTTAAACTAAAAAGTTTCTTCTGTGATGTGAACAGAGAGGCTACATCCTGGGAGCAAATTTTTACCCCTCACACATGAGATAGAGCACTAATCTCTAGGGTATATAAAAAACTCAAAAAGCTAAGCACCAAAAAAACAAATAACCCAATCAGCAAATGGGCCAAAGATCTGAACAGACACTTCTCAGAAAAGGATATATAATCAATCAACAAATATATGAAAAAATACCTTTTAGTTTTGATGCTTTCTCATATCTTTATTTGGTTATTAGCTGCTTAAAGCAATTCAAATAGACAATAATCATATCTGAAACTTATG